GCACTTTGAGGATGGGTATTGCTTATTTATCGAGTCTACTCCAGAGTTTAGCTTAACACATTAAACAGGATATTCAATAAATGTCTTCTTGAGTAAAAAGAATGGGAAAAAAAATCACTTAAAACCAGAAGTGTTGACTTTCACTTTAGAGAAACTGAATAGGGTTCAGCCAAAGCTTAAAGCTTCATTTTTCTGGCATCTCTGCAATGATAATTTCTATAATTTGGTTAGCCTGATATTGTGCATTGTTCTACTTATAATGCACTAATATAAGCTTAACAGACAAATGTAAGCACTCATGCTCATTTCTTCTTCAAAATGGGTATAAATAAAACTAAGTTATCTGACCTTTGAATATTCATAAGTCCAGAAAAACTCAACATTCTAAAGGTATAACTGATTTTAAAGTGCCTTTGGTCAAAAACAGGTATTTCCATGTTATATTTTAACAAGTGAACAGTTAGGATGCTATATAGCAGAAGTTCTCACTTATGAATGCAGATCCCCAGGGGCCACAGAGTTACTGTAAAGATTAAAGAAAAAAAAAAGATTAAAGAATCTACCAAAGTACCAAGCAAAATCTATACCTCCATGATCTGATATGACAGCCACTAGCTACATGCAGCCATTGGACACCTGAAGTAGGACTAGTCTGAATGGAGAAGTGCTGTAGCTATCAAATGCATACTGGATTTCAAAGATTTTATATGAAAAAACAATATATCTCATTTATCATCTTAATATTGACTACACATTAAAATGCTAGTTTGGATATATTAAACACATTAATTTTACTTTTTTAATGGGGTACTACAAATTTAAAATTATACTTGGGGCTCATGTGGGACACCACTGTAGCAGAGTGAATTTGCAAAAAGTACTACCATTTAACAAGTATATGATACTTTTCAGACTATTAAATTTAAATTCGTTGATAAGGTCTGCTGTATGTATTATGTTCTCTAAAAGTAAAACTTCAGTGAGAAAGAAGACATTTCTGATGTTAAATTAGTTATACTCAGATATTGGGAACCACTACTTTGTATAAACTCACTGGCAAATTACCCATTTTTCTGGGTACCGGAAGTGGAGGGTCAGCCAGTGAGCATGCAAAGCACTTCAGGTTGCTCTTGGAAAGAAGCTTTATGAAAACCTAGAGGCCCGATGCATGAAATTCTTGCAAGGGGCTCGACCCTTGCAGCCCCGGCTTCGTCCTGAAGGTTGTCCTGATGGTCGTTCCACTGTTCAGCCGTCCAGTCTAATTAGCATATTACAATTTTATTATTATAGATGTTCAACTGCAAATAAAAGGAGAAAATGGCCTTTACTTGCTGGAGTGAGGTTTTGCATAGATGTGATGGGCCAAAATAAGCAAGTTCTGAGGGGTTCTAAATTGGGAGAGGTATTTTAAGGAAGGAGGGTAAGGTGAAGGTTCTCTATAGCAGGGGTGGGAACATCCAGCCCTTGGGCCATATAAGGCCTGTGAAATCATTTGTTTTGGCCCTGCCAAGGCATTAGGGGTGAGTTAATTAAATATTTGATAAAATAGTTTTTACATTGATAATTTTGTATGGCCCTTGAATGATGTTATATCCAAATGGGCCCAGTCGGTGTAGCTCAGTGGTTATGCATCGACCTATGAACCAGGAGGTCACAGTTCGATTTCTGGTCAGGGCACATGCCTAGGTTGCGGGCTTGATCTCCAGTGGAGGGCTTGCAGGAGGCAGCTGATCAATGATTCTCTCTCATCATTGATGTTTCTCTCTCTCTCCCTCTCCCTTCCTCTCTGAAATCAATAAAAATATATTTTTAAAAATCCAAATGGCCCGCCGAAACCGGTTTGGCTCAGTGGATGGAGCTTCGGCCTGCGGAGTGAAGGGTCCCGGGTTCGATTCCACTATCTCTCTCCCTTCCTCTCTGTAAAAAATCAGTAAAATATATTTAAAAAAACAAAAACAAAACAAACAAACAAACAAAATCCAAATGGCCCTTGGCAGAATAAAGGTTCCCCACTCCTACTCTAAAGGAATTAATTCCAGTAGCAGTTTCTAAAAGAGAGAATGCCTGGCTTTCAGAACCCTATTTGGTCTTTCTGAAGATGTATAATTATTTTCATATACATTTATAATTTACATATAAAATATAATAAACTTTTGCTAGCTCACATAAACTTTGGAGTAAATTATGGATAATTATATTTTTTTCTTTACTTTATCACATATAACTTGCCATATGTTAAAACTAAGGAATGTGGAGGAATACTGCCAATCCAAACAAAGAGGTACTCAAGAGTAACAGCAGAAAAATACACCTACAATGGTTTCTGCTAGCCTTTATTTGAGAAAATTTACACAAAAATCCCCATCCAACACAAGTGAATCTGTATAAATCCCACATGCTTCTTTCCACTCAACAAACAGAAAAATGGCTTATGACAATGGTGTAACAAAGCTTACTTAAACCACATCACTCTCATCTATATTTTATACAACCTGTTGAAAAATAGGTTCAAAACGGAGAAAACAGATAACATCCTCATTTTAAAATCTAATTTGCTCTTGCACTAGCCTTTTATCGAAGGCAAATAAATTTACTTTTTTGATAACATCAAGGTGTAATACCAATGAACTTTAAACCAAAAATACAAATGTTCTCGTTGGTAGTTTTGGCATGAGTAAAAGGAAAGGACATGAAAGAATTTTAGTTTCATAAATCACATTTGGGAACAAAAACATCAGCAAAATCAAATATTTGCCTATTCTATTTTCTTCTTTGACATTTTGTCAGAGCAGAGTACTATAACCAACTAAGTAGCTTTCATTGCTTGTAAAAAGAGGAAAGGCACCAGTCAGAAATATGAAAGCGTATCTTATTAGACCAATGGTACAAAACTTCACTTTTAAACGTCTAAGGAAATCTTAACCCACAAATTTGGTCATTCTCTTCATTTGGATGTATCTTCTGTCGTTTAGTAATGTAATATCACAGATTTTCTCTACATCTGCTGCCTTTTTGACAAGGATTCCGCTGCCAAGTCCTCAAAAGTAGTTCCTATCAATACTTAATAGCAGATGGCGATGTTGCACAAATTAATGAACCACTTTTATGCCATACCAGAGAAATTCATACATACATGGAGTCAAAAGGGGGGGGGGGGGGGGGGGCGGTTTGGGTTCACAATAGCTGAAATATTAACAGAACTGCCTGAGATTTTAACAACATAACTCACTCCCTCTTCCATCTTTGGACTTTATCCAGGTCATCACAGCAGTGTTCTCTGTTAATTCTAACATGTTGCTGCTTAACTGCAAGCTGCATGGCCCTAAGTCCTGTAATTCTTGCCACTGCGATTAGACAAGCCTTGTAACAACAGTTAGCAAGGTTTTAAAAAGAGATTACAGAAAGGATGAACTCCTAGCTCCTTTCCTGGGAGAAGCGGGGAAAATTTCAAGTGATAGTATTTTTCTTAATTGTTTACAAACATGGTCATTTGTATCCACATTCTCTATTTATATCAGTATTGGCCTTTAGGTACCTCATACTCATAGTGATTCTTGGCTTTGCTTTCACAACATGTATTCTCAAGTATTTACTGTATTCATGATGATCCTTCCAGTGTTGTTGTTTTTTAATATATCATATGTCTCAGGGGGACATAAAAGGTCAGGGATTAAATCACTGGCTGGTCATGTAAGAAGATTTGGTAAATTTTCTAATTTTTTCCTTGGTACATGTTATGTTAAAAATTCAAGCAACCACATATCTGACAAAGGAGCCATATGTAGGCTATATAAGGAATGCTCAAAATTCATTAGTATAAAGAATAATCTAATTAGAAAATGGGCAAAGAACATGAACAGATATTTCACTGAGGAAGATATATATGGCAAATAAGCTCATGTAAAGATGTCCAATATCATTAGCCATTAGAAAAATGCAAGTAAAATCATAATGAGGTCTCATTACATACATTTATCAGAATGACTAAAATATAAATAACAGCAAATACCAGTGAGGATGTGGAGAAACCTGATTGGTCATACATTGCTGGTGGGTACATAAATAAAATGGCACTCACTCTAGAAAAAGAGTAGGGTGATTTCTTAAAAACTTAAACATGCTTACCATACAACCCAGCAATTGCCCTCGAGAGCATTTATCGCAGAGAAATGAAAATTTATGTTCACATAAAAACCTGTACATGAATGTTCACAGAAGATTAGTAATGGCCAAAAACTGAAAATGACCCCGATGTCCTTCAATGGGTAAATGGATAAACAAACTGTGGTACATCAATACCATGAAATACTACTACACAATAAAAAGGAACCAACTATTGATCCATGCAACAACTTGCATGGACTTTAAGGGCATTATGCTGAGTGAAAAAAGTTAATCTCGCCCTGGCTGGTATCGCTCAATGGTTAGAATGTCAGCCCACGCACGAAGGGTTGTGGGTCTGATTCCTGGTCAAGGGCATGTACCTGGGTCACAGGTTTGATCCCTAGCCCCAGTTGGGGCACATGTGGGAGGCAACCAATCGAGGTGTCTCACTCACATCAATGTTTCTCTCTTTCCCCCTCCTTCCATCCCTTCCATGCTCTCTAAAATCAATGGAAAAAATATCCCCAGGTGAGGAAAAAAACAAACAAAAAAAGTTAATCTAGAAAGATTACATACTATATAATTCCATTTATATCAGCAGTTGCCAACCGGTGGTCCTCGGACCACTGGTGGTCCGTGAGGTCCGAAAGGTTGGTGACCACTGATTTATATAACATTCTTGAAATGACAAAATTAGAGAGATGGAGAACAGATTAGTGGTTGCCAGAGGTTGGGGCTTGGGAGTAAGGAAGGGAGGTGGCTGTAGCTATAAAAGGGTAGCAAGGGATCCCTGTGATGGAACTGTTTTGCATTTTGTGATGGTGGTCACATGAATTTACATATGTAATAAAACTGCATAGAACTAAACACACATAACTACACAAAAAGGAAATTCAAGCAGTTGAGCACAAATGTTTTAATTCTCTAAAATGAAAAATTTTAAAAAGAGTTATCTATAGTTCAAAGCTCATTTCTATGAGGTGTCACATCCATCACCCTTTTATGAGACATAAAATTAAGAAAGGATACCTCCAGAAGCTACCTAAACATTTCAGCTAATGGTTAAGATAAAGTTAAGGGTGTTTTCACACAGAAATCCAAAGAGGACAATGAGAATAAAACAAGTTTCACATGGTCATTCAAATCTTGGTAAAGGAACTAGAGTGGAAGCCCGAGCTGGTGAGCAAGTGGGAGAAGGAAAGAAAACATGGTTTAAACAGATCACATGAGGAAACCCAGTACAAATGCTGGCTTTGGCATTATCTAGGTAACCCCTATTTTTTGTCACAGGTGACTCCAAAGTCCTATTGTTGCAAAACCAGTCCAAATCCTATCAAGTTAAAAAGAAGTCCCTCAATGACTTGTTGGGTGTAGGTGGTAACCCATGTCCTCCCACACCAAGAGACATCAGTTCTGGCAAGAAGTTCCAACGTGCCTTTATGGTGCTGCTGATAGGATGCCTTAGGCCAGGCACGTCCCAGTGATGTTCTGCTGGCTGAGATACAAGGTGGGAGGAGAGTAGGCCTTATTACTCAATCAACTTCTTGGCCTTGAAGAAGCGGCGAAGGTAGAAGACCTGCCAAGTGGCTAGTCCAATGAGACAGAACATTGAAAAGATGCTGAAGTATAGGACCCGAGTGTTTGTTGATTCTAAAAAAATCAAAACAAAAACATTGTAAATGTAATGAAATGAGGCTCAGCAGGCTAAACGATGGCCAGGGAGGAAAGGCAATAAATTAACTTCACTTTGTCCCTAGGCCTAAGAGTAGGATTTCAGTTAGCTTTTTCTTAAATTTTCATTATTCTATATATAAATGTTAAAATTTGCAAAGATTAGTCCTATCAATTTGATACATGGTAAGCAAACTGACAATATGGTCAACTACATATGGAAGTGATTTCTATTTCCTTGAAAATCTAACAAGGCTCATTTACCTGTAGCAGCAACACTGAAGTTAGCAATTATCTTTCCACACACCATCCCTCCCCCCACCCTTGGCAAAACGGAGAAAATGGTACACCAGAATTTAAAGTCTGGTGATCTGATTCCTTTATGGTTCTCTTATTGAGAAACAAGAGCTGCCCTCCCCTCACCATTGGTATCGCGCATCTCCTCCTCTCGCTTCTTCATGTAGGCAAAATCATTAACGATAGATTCTGACAGATCTTCTAGGCGTCGTAGCTCTACCTCTAAAGGTTTGAGCTTCTCAACTTTTGCAATCTGGAAAAGAAAGGAATCATGAACCCACTCCCTGAAAAAATTGCTCTGGTCAAGAACACAAGACAACGAGTCTTTTAAAATATTTCACCAAACTTAAAAACTCTTCGATCATTCTAAAGTTAGCACTTCTTCCCTTCCCTACAAATGTTTATGTTTCCATCTCAGACTTTTTTATACTTTAGTTTTGATTAAAACCTCAGAAGTATTATAATGTGGTAGGCTATAAAGTAAGATATACTATTTTCACAAGATTTCTGACTTTAATTAAGTACTTTACCCTTCCAATCATGTCTATGAAATAAACAATATTATTAGCATAGTAAGTGTGAGTCAAAATATTAGTCAAACGTGTTTTTAGAAGAAAAACCAAGTTCACAATAGGGAATGCACAGGAATGAGAGAGTAGGCATAACTATAGCATTAAGATAATTAACCCAGACTACAAAATTAGAGAATTCTGGTTTGCTCATTTAAATGCCACAATTTTAGATTTAGTGGTCCAGAGCCCAGATGAATCCTAAGTCTGCTAAAAAAAAATTGTTATTTTTTTTATTGATTTCAGAGTGGAAGGGAGAGGGAGAGAGAGATAGAAACATCAATGATGAGAGAGAATCATTGATCGGCGCCTCCTGCACACCCCCCACTGGGGATCCAGCCCGCAATCCGGGCATGTGCCCTTGGCCATAATCGAACTAGGGATCCTTCAGTCGGCGGGCCGACGCTCTATCTACTGAGCCAAACCGGCTAGGGCTGCATTTGTTTTTAGAATGACACTGCTTGTTATCAAAAGAAATCTTCAGGGACTTCCTGGTAGACTAAAGAATGAGGAATGTGAGAAAGAAATGAACTGTCTTCCCTTCTCAACCTAGACATCTGAAACCCCCAAGATTTGACAAAAGCAAGGATTTTGTTATTCTAATTGTTTTTCTTACCAATTTTGAAATTATCATTTGCTTTAAAATGGGGATACTCTGACCTTAAAACTCAATACCAGCTGCTCTTAAATTTTTCTATATAAAGAATTCTTTAAAAATTCTTTTTCTACATCTGCTGCTTTACTCCCTATTCAATATACATTATATCTAGAACTCCTTACTTTTTCTTCTCTCTTGTCCAATTTGCCTTCCTTGTTCTTTTTCTCTGTTAAATGTTAATAGCTGTTAATATGGAATGCATGGGAAGAGTTTAAGAGTGTTCTAATGTTCCCTTTGCATATCTGTAATCTTCACTTAACTAGAAAACTGCTGATAAGGATATAAAAATTGAGTTGATATTTAAGGTACTTAAAATGTAGTGATAGATTTGCAATGACCCACCTAAGTTGTCTTTTACTGGATGTACATTGTTTTACATTTGTAAAATGTTTGCTAGAGTTAATGGTGTGACTGGCAGCTGCAGAACAGATCTAGGCTAACTGGGTATAAGATCTAACTCTCCTAGCTGAAACCCCAAATGCCAGGTTTTGCCATTAACATAGAATATATGTCTGCTGATTGATTTCATCCAGAGCTACAGAGCAAGGAAAATTCCCCAGGAAAAAGATACCAATACAAGAGACATATAATAAGTTGAACCTTAATCTGTTTACCATTTTGTTTTCCCTCCTGGTCTATAGTTCCCTCTCCAAAGCTGCCTGAATGAGATAGTATAAAAGCAATGGCGTGATACTTCTTTAGAGATAAATGATTTAAAGTTCCCTAAATAGTAACTTGCAAAAAGAACTGGAAGCGGAACTATGGCTGTGCCTCTGCCAGCTGAAAATAATACCTGTAAAAATTACTCTGAAGACTACTTCTAAGCTCCTCCCCCACTGTGTGTGTGTGTGTGTGTGTGTGTGTGTGTGTGTGTGTGTGTGTGTTTCAAATGGCAATAGCCCACGGTATAAAACCTGAAATGGATGATGGAATTAAAATTAATTTGGTATTGAGGTTGCTTTTGTAGTTTAGAGCCCAAAAAACCTGTCCCCAATGCTGTTCCTTTCTGGTGTTTCATTTATTTTTTAGTTGTACAAGCAACACCTAAATATGTTCTCCTGCTAAAGAATTTAAAATATTCAGAAGCAAAGGAAACAAAAACGGCAACTCCACTTTCATAGATCCTCAATTCTCATATCCACATATTCCCTCTCAGTGGTAACCATGATTATGAACTTGGTGTACACCTTTCCAGACCTTGTTAGAAGATACACACTATTTATGCTTTTGTTTGAACATAAATGTGCACAGAAAAATGTAATTTAAAACTATTTACAAATAGGATCATAATGTATGTATACACAGTTGTACTTGCTTTTCTTTTCCCCACTTAGGATCTTTCCAAAAACTCCAGTGCTTGGGATTCACCTCCCTCTTAACTGCTGCACAGTATTCCATACTGCATCCAGGCCCTTGTCTATTTAACCGATTTCCCAACCCCTTTTCTAGTAGAGGTCCTACTGAAGACTCTATTCATAACCAAACAGCCCAGTTCCTATCATCCAAGTCAATTTTATTACCTCAATGAAATCCCTACTCAATCCTGTCCTTAATTCCAGTAAATTATTTTTATTTTTTTATTTATTTATTTTTTTAATTAAATCTTTATTGTTCAGGTTACATTTGTTCCTCTTTTTTCCAGCCGTTATGGTGCCCTCAGTCCTGTTCCCAGAGGCTCTGCTTCTCAGAACCCCCGGAACCGCTGCAAACCTCGGAGGGAAAGCTGCCTTCCAACTGATGCCAGACACTCCCGCTTCTCCCGTTTGGGTCCGAGTCCCCAGCGATTCGCCCGTATCTGGAGCTCAGAGTCTGAGACTCCCCCCTGACCGAAAACGACAACCGCGCTCTCAGCCACCAGCCCGCTTTGCGCGCGCACCTCCGCACCTGAGTATTTTCCACACTGCGCCTCCTCTGAGCCTCGGTGTGCTGTTATTTTTCCTTCTAGTTGAAGAGTCTCTCCTCAGCCAGCCTTCCTGCGGTTCTGGGTGATGTCCGTTCCGTCTTTTAGTTGTATTTTTGAAGTGGTTGTTTGCGGCAGCAGTCTGCGGTGTTTACCTATGCCGCCATCTTGGTCCCAGTAAATTATTTTTAGACTTCTATGGGTTTTTCCTAAAAAAAACCTCTCTGCCTAATAACTACCTTTATTCTTTTTTATTATTATTATTGATTTTTTACAGAGAAGAAGGGAGAGGGATAGAGAGCCAGAAACATCGATGAGAGAGATCGATCAGCTGCCTCCTGCACGCCCCCCACTGGGGATGTGCCTGCAACCAAGGTACATGCCCTTGACCGGAATCGAACCTGGGACCCTTCGGTCCACAGGCCGATGCTCTATCCACTGAGCCAAACCGGTTCGGCTACCTTTATTCTTATATTAATTTAATATCTGGGAAGCTTAAAGAATCTAAATATTGAAAACCAACTTGCTATTTCAATCATCTAACATGGATACTCAATAGGAAAATCCAACAATAATGATATATATTTGTATGCTTAATCTAAATCTAGAAATCAAAACAAATATAAAGAGGGTTTTTTTGGGGTTTTGTACATTTAAGACCCTAACAACAATGCTTTTTTTAGTGCTTACTGTGTGCAAGGCACCCAATTAAATTATGACCTCTGCTCCTCAGAAGCCCACAGGCTGGTGGAGAGGCTCACATAAAAAGCTGTAACCGTAATATAGGGCATTACATATTAACTTCTACAACAAAGGCACACATTAAAAGTGGGACAGGAATAAAGCAGCATGAGATTATATAGCTGAAAGAGTAAAGGAAAACTTAATAGAAGTGGGGAGTTGGGTCTCACAAGTTGTGTAGAATTTGAAAAAAGATGAGAAGGAAAGACATTCAAGGCTGAGGGAAACCTGCAAATCAAAACACAGAGGGAGAAAAGTGTAGGCCATGCTTAAAAGACCATGAGTAGTCTAATGTGCATGGATGTACATGTGTATGCATGCACTCATGTCAATACACACATGTGCTAAGGAGATGGTGGTGGGTAATAGCAAATATAAGTTTCAAAAGTTAGGTTGGAGCTAAGATGATGAAGAAGGTAGCATAATGAATTAAACCTATTAGTATATACCCAGGATGTGATGTGATATGTATTTTAGAGTGTGTAACCTCACTTAATCCTCATAACCCTATACAAGGTGAATATTATTATCCTTAAATTTTTCACATGAAAAAATTAAGGCTCAGAGTATTAAATAACTTTCCCAAGATCTCAGAACCTCATGGAGCTGAAATTGGAATCCATGTCTGACTTTACATTGTATTCGGTAGGCACTGAAATTTGATAAAGAAAACCCGATGACCACACTAAATGTTTTCTGGATCAAAGGTGAAGTGAATGAGCTGTATTAGGTCACAAGGATCTGGGTAGTTGTCCAGTTTATTAGTCAAATTTCCTAGGTTTCAGGCTGTTATTCTAATTTTTACAGACTAAGAGAATAAAATTTTAAAACAAATTATCACAAGTATTCTCAGAAAAACCCTCTTTGCTTGCCCAGGACTAAGCATTCAATGAATATCATCAATACTTAATATCATAGTCAGTACAAGCTAACAAAAAACATCTATCAAAATCCCCACTGACTTCTGTGCTCTTCTAAAAATCTGTTTAATGTTAAAAATATCTGTAAGAATGTTAAATTATACATGTTTCATGAAGGCAGACCATTTTTCTAGTGTATCTTCTCTCTTCCACAGCTGGAAGGATGGTATGTATTTTGCCAACAGCTTGCTAAGAGCAAGGCCTATTTTATTTGACAGTGTGGACCACAGGTTTTCCACTAGGGGGTAGCATTCCCTTTGCAGGCTGCTCTAGCTGTTAAGTAATCAAAAAAATATTAGTACAAGGGACTTCATTTTACAAATGAGGAAACTAAAGATATTACAAAGTTACTAAGTCCTTTGGGTAGAAGACTACGACTAGCAGATCCATGGTCTTTTGACTTACTACCCATGATTACCAAAGCATTTATTTAGCATCAAAACTGCAAAGCTCTGCTGTAAAATGCAAGTAAAACCAAATCCCTGACCTGCAAAAATATACACTTAGTATATTCAAACCCTACCTATCTTTCAAACCTTAGTCATGAAGACTCCGTTAGCCATTCCTGTCCACACTGATTCCCTCTTCCCTAAAGCCCTACAGAACTTACACTAGACACACAATTAAGATTCAATCATACATTGTCATATTTACATTGTTTTTATTTTTATCCTTTCCCCCTACACTAGTTTGGCCCTGAACTCAAGGAAATTTTTAAAATGTATACTTTGTATAGACCCACACACCTGATACATGGCAAACACTTGTAAATTGCCTGTTCTAACCATTCTATGAATTCTTCAAAGGAGCCAACTTTCTCATAGCAGGTAAGTGCAGCTGGTCCCCTGAAGCAAGCGTTTCCTGAATGCTGAGCACTCTACATCTACTTTCAGGAGGCCCACTGTCTAGGAGAAAGCTCTCACTATCACACTCATTGGTAGTGTTTGGAAATGTTACAAGTTATAAAGTCTTTCCCTACATATCTACAACACCTCCAAAATAACTATAAAACTACTCTTTTTAACCCATTCCAAATCTTGCACTCCTCAAATGATGATTTGAATCTGAAGAGTACAGTTATATGCAATTGTACCAAAGAAAGGTGTTAACTCTAAAAAAACTGCTTCATAAAAACACATGTGAAACCAGCCTCTAGATCAGGGGTGGGGAACCTTTTTCTGCCAAGGGCCATTTGGATATTTATAACATCATTCGAGGGCCATACAAAATTATCATCTTAAAAATTAGCCTGCTCTATTTGGTCAAACATTTAATTAACTCACCCCTAATGCCTTGCAGGGCCAGACCAAATGATTTCGTGGGTCTTATATGGCCTGAGGGCTGGATGTTCCCCACCCTGGTCTAGAGAATCATTGGATTCTTTTCCTTGGTGGAGCACCGAGACTCAAAAGAGAAGCTTCTTGTGGTAAGCCAAATTCAGTCAAATTACTTTGCTACCTCCACATCCACTACCACAGCCACTGAAAATTTGAGAAGCACGGCAATAAATTTGAATAGCATCCAGTTTAACACAATGAAGATAAAGAAGACAGAATCACATTCAAGGACAAGTCTACTTGCATGTGGGGTATGTGAATCACAGGCCTCTTCACAGAAGCTGAAAAGGTCAACGTGCCAAAATAAGTCCAGATAATACTGCCAAACTTAGGACTAAATGAAATTTATTAAGATCTTATTTACTCTCTCATAGCCATTTGGCAGTTTCCAGAAAGGGTAGGAGAAGGAAGCTTTTAAAATCTACTGAATTGACTATGCGTCAGGTGCCTTACCCATGTTATTTCATTTAACTTACATCAACAAAGGGATTTTGGTTCTAATACACAGAACCAGAGTTCCTCCTTCCTGAGGGCATTCAGAAAAATAGACATTCTGGAAAGTAAGTCTTCAGATGTTGCTCCAATGAGGGAAACTGTTTTTTTGGTGTATCTGTTGATAGCAAATGACTGACTAAAAGAACCCATGGGCAAAACAGGGTTTATTTTGTAAATCATCACCCAAAAATATGTTTTGTTAAAAATTGATTTTTAGAGAGAAAGGAAGAGAGCCCCAGCTGGTGTGGCTCAGTGGTTTTAGTGTCATCCCATGCACCAAGAGGTCATTGGTTTGATTCCTGGTCAGGGTACATGACCAGGCTGTGGGCTCATTCCCAGTGGGGGACGTGCATGAAGCAACTGATTAATGATTCTTTCTCATCATTGATGTTTCTATCTCTCTCTCCCCCTTCACTTCCTTTCTGAAATCAATAAAAACATATTGAAAAAAATAAAATAAATACTGATGCCAAAGGGCCCAAATCCACTGGAGACAAAGCCTCTCCATTATCTCAAGGGCCTAAAATTAAATGTCTCAAAACCTCTACACATGCTCAGTGCTCCCTGGTAATTAACCAGGGAACAAGTGGTTCTAGTGTCCATTTTCTTGTCACAGTCATTAGCCCAGAGACAACTAACAGCTATATCTAAGCAAAGTTCAAGGGAGCCTAGCCATACATTGAGAAAAGGACTGGTCTTTGGCTTGTGTCATAACTACTTCTCCTCTTCCATCTCAATTTGATCTGCTTTTTTTTTTGGGGGGGGGGGGGGTGACGTTGCCAAAGAAAGCAGTGGGAGTTTTTTTGGTTAAGAAACAGAATTTAGAGCTATGTTGTAACCATGTGCGTAAAGAAAAGCTTAAGACGTGCCAGACTTCCACATCAGGAAACGGCGCAAAGGAAGAGCTGTGGTTTGCTTTCTGCTAGGGATTCCCCTCTTGGGTTAAGCAAAAGGTCAGGAAAGATAATGAATGGCTCTTTCCCGGTGTCAACCAAGTCCAAGGATAATGGAAATTCTAGGAGGTACAGGGGTTCAAAAGTGCTATATGCCAGTGATGTCCACATTATTCTATATGTAAATTCACAATACCATCTGTTTTAGAGAACAAGGTAAGTCTAATCAAGTGGCCCATTTAATATATACCACCTAATGATAGCCTTCCCATGGGGGGAGAGGGGGAGTTACAAGAGATAAAATCCCACATAGGAATTCAATGAATGCTTGCATACAGAATGGTCTGAGCTTGAGGATACAGCAGCAATAACCAAAACCTGAAAATCATTTTACCTATTCTTCCACCTCATAATAACTATAACTTTTTATTATTGTTTTATACCTTACAACAGCACTCTAATATATGTAATCTTAAATATAAATAAGATTCTTCTAAATCATTAAAGTTTAAAAGGATTTTTCACTTTACTTTTTTTTGGCATGGTTCTTTTCAGTTTATTGCATGAATGAGTTAAATTAGTCCAAGTTAAAGTAGACCCCAAATGGTTACATTATATAAGCTGTGAGGTTTTTTTAACTTGTGACAAGGGAGAGAAGGGAAATTCTACCCATTGCAAGGAAATCCTCACTTTAGTTTCAGAGAGGCAAGAGCACTTAAAACCCATGAAACTTCAGCTGGTGGTCTTTAGCCAGACCGATCTCTACTAGGAACTGGTGGATGTTCTTGCGCTGGTCATCTTGTAGCTGAATTACTTCTCCATATTCTGGATGCTCAATTACAGTACCATTGCAGACAAATTTCTTCTTAAAGGCCTTCACTAGTTTCTTTTGATTGCAATCATCAGAGATCCCTTGGACAGTAGGAAGGGTCTTCCTGCTACTTCTCTGTTAAATTTTTATATGGATATAATCCTCAGTGCCGGCAGAAAGCAGATCATCACCTTTACTTGCATCAGCAAAGGAATTGAAAGAGTGTAGGTTCTGGTTAGCGAACATTCGATAATACCATAGGATGATTCCTTTACCTCTGGCACATAGAAAGGTGGGTGGGTGGAGGGATCTGGTGGGGGCAGAGCTTCAGGAAGCGAGGTGAGGCTCAAAGGGAGTCCTTGGTGGCAGCAGCTCAGTGACTGGGGTCTCTCTTTACTCTAAGTTCATCAAAGAGTCTCTCTTGCTTTGTTTCTTTTAACTAAACTAGTTTAGAGACAGAAACAAGCAAATCAAAGTCTCTATCGGGAATCGTCTTCCATTCACTACTGCATACTTGCTCCTGTTTACCGCCTACACATAACTCGATCTAGTTTTGTTCAGTTGAACACTTGAACTAGGAAAAAGAGAAAAGATCTGAAGACCTGCAACTGTTGTACTATTACTTCCTGTTGCAGAATCAGTCACTTCCAATCTTCTTCCATTTTAGGATATTCTGTTCCAAATCCTGATGAAAGCTAGAGCAATTTTCTGGTTCCATCCCTCCTAGAAAATTCTCTTAAATCACTTAAAGCAACTTAGCCTGTTTATTTTAGTTTACATTCTTCAAAAGCTATTTACATTTCCTGTACCCCACCTCTTCTTCATGCCCACAGATACTGTTTGTAAAGACTCTGATCTGGGTAAAAATACTCTTATCTTACTGTAAAGATCAATCCTCCATTCTTAAATAGTTCTTGTGGTTTTTCAAAGGTGCTCTTGATTTGAAGAACCATTTTGTGCTGCCCCCAAAGTCTCTCGTAATAGAGATGAAAAAGGCTCAGTTCCCCTTCCCCTTGCTTTATACACACCTCTACTTCCCTACTACCCAAATAAATGTCAGTTTTTATTCTCTATAATACTTCCTGTCAGCAAAAATTTCTCATTATCATTACTCCTAGTCCCTTGCAGTTTTTTCTTCTATATTTCTCTCTTCCTTAGTCTGAAATAAGTTTACCTATAAGCTACTTATGGCTATTGTTGTTTTTCAAATGTAGCACAGCTGCTCAAGTCTAAACAGTGCTGAATCCATGCCCTAGATATAATATAAGGTGAGGCAATAGAAGGTTTACAGTAGTTTTTATGAAAAATACAGTAATCAATAAATAATGGGGGCGCGCGGGGCAGGGTGGAAGGGTCAGTGGGGGGAAAAGGAGACATCTGTAATACTTTCAACAATAAAGATAAATTAAAAATAAATAATAATAAAGAAGAAACTCTGTTTCGGGTACGCACAACTACTTTTGTCCCACCCTGTATAGAGTTGTCAGTCTGCGAATAAAAGCCTTAGCTTTTAAAAACAAATCACTTTTCTTAACCTTGGACATTAACATTTAAATAAATTGCAGCTTTTAAAAATTATAAATATATATATCTATTTGCTGTCTCAAGAGTGCTAATGGCATATGCTTGAGTGTTTTATAACACCAACATTGCTATGGGACAGCTGGTTTAGTTAGTCATTTGGCTGACGACACAGCTAGAGTTATTGTTTAGGGCTGTTAATACAACTTTTTGTATCAGTAAAATTGTAACTTGGCTGTCACATGACTGCTGAGAAAACCATAGCCTTCTGGTCAAAGCACAGCCTGTTGGCCTGAATAGGTCACAGAAACCTCACGGCCCAGCACACGACTGCCTCCTCTGGCTGTTACAGTGGGACATACCTCTTCATAATTTTTCGCCTCCACTCCATGCTTCATGTCTAGGATCACGAGTTGGTCAGGTAACCGCCCTGTTCCTGAGAAAGAAATCAAAGGATTCATTGTGCGGAATATTTAAAATTCCGGGAAATCACCCACCCAGCCTCCCTCTCCCTAAACCTCCCCCCTCAATAGAGGGAAACAGCCGCAAACTCCTCCCCCTACTCAGCTGCAGAAAATTCCTGGCTCTGGCTAAAATCACAAGCATTCCAGACAAAGCCTCTGTCTGTGCGGGGTGCCGGAAAGCAAATAGAACATGCTGCTGCCAAACATCTCTAAGCAGGCAGGACAGATACTGCAGCTGGAACTACAGAGGAATAGAAAGAAGGAGAGAAAACACGTAGGCTTATTGGGCTAGGAAATAAAACTCAAAAGTCAAAAGAGTATAAAACAGAGTGGCATATATAGACCAACAGGTAATGGGGACCAACTTAGGTTGAAAAAATACATTTCCACACCTGAAAAGGTTGTCCTGTCAAATTTTGAGAAAAGGATTTTTGGGCATATACTAAGCTTGGATTTACTTAATATAAACTAGTACTTAAAAGAACACAGGATTTATCTAAGATTTCACTTTAATTTAAACATTCTGTTAAATGTACGGCCATTTCAATAAATGAACAAAATGTTATAGAATTATTCCCACAGAGCCAAGAAAAAACTTGATAATAAGAGTACAATTCTCAGGATGCTTCTTAGAAAGAGAAATGTCTATTTGGTATAGTAAGGCCAACAGAACCATGTTGATATTTAAAAAGGTAATCTGATTCAGCTTGATCAAAAAGGAATTCTAATCTTATATCATCAAGTAAGAGAAATGGAGACTTCATCAGCCCCAGAAAATTGCTCAGTCCTTTGGAATTCAATCCCCTGGAATTCACCTGATTATTTATAAAATAAAAACTGCCTACATGAAATTAGGACTTTGGGGAAACAGGGCCACATAAGCACTGGGACTCCTGAGACCGAAAGCCACAGAGAATGGTACTGTACCTTCTGCAGCCTGAGAGGCACTGGAGATTTTCTGAAACAGGCTGAAGTCAATGCAATAACTGCTCACTGAGAGCTCACTGGGTGCTACAACTGTCCTGGAGACTACAGTCCTTGCCTTCCAATAATTCGATGGGGATCTAACACATGAACATGAGTAACAGTTACAGTGAAAATGCAAAGCAGTATAACACTTCAAGAGGAAAAAACCCAAACTGGTTCAGATAATCCCAGTTATGGAGCAAAGGTTAGAGGAGGAAAGAGATTAGTTGTAGATGGACCTCACTGAAGAGGGAGCACCTGGAGGCAGGACAAAGTATTCTAGGCAGAAGACAAGCATGGGCAAAGGCTCAGATATTGAAATGAGTAGGGCATGTTTAAATGACAGTAAAGAAGTTCTTTGGGATAGACTAGAAACATCAATTTAAAAGCAATAGAAATAAGACTGAACAGGTAGGACTGGGAAACGATAACAAGTCACCGATGTCTTCTAAGCATTTAAGCCAGTAAGTCTCCAAAACAAAACAACAAAAAGCTGCATCCAGAGAAGCCTCTTCTCCCCACTCCAATGTGTAATCCTGATTTCAGCATTGCCCATAGAGATGCATGCAAATTTTTGCTTCTCCTTTCTCATTTAAAAAGTTGTGAAATGCAAGCAGCTCATAGTCCTATCTGGTCCAAATGATCAAGATATTCTCTTCCTAAGACTCTTCCCACTTTCCTTTGCCACAGCATATAGCATTAGCATTATTCAAACACAAGTGAAACCACAAAGCCACTCAGGCTGGTCTGAGTCCAGACTATACAATCTCTTGCACAAAACAGCCAACCTAATTCCCATCAGCGGTTCTCAACCTGTGGGTTTCGACCCCTGAAAATACATCCTGCATATCAGATATTTACATTATGATTCATAACAGTAGCAAAATTACAGTTATGAAGTAGCAACGAAAATAATTTTATGGTTGGGGGTCACCACAACATGAGGAACTGTATTAAAGGGTCGCGGCATTAGAAAGGTTGAGAACCATTGCGTGATATCAAGACCATAAAGGGTCTCCATTGTAAAAAGACTCATTTATTTCTCTCTACATTTTCCTGGAAAAAAACCAACCTTTTAAAAAGTGTTCCCAAGACTACAAGTTCTCCATATCAGAATAAACAGAGAACACATGTAAACTAGAAATTGAGTGCTTATTATATGTCTGTGTGCGTGCACGTATATATTTTAAAAATTAGTTCCCAGGCATCTGCATGCACAGCATCAGCAGCATATAAGAAAGAAATTCAGAACAAAAGATATATTTAGGGTAATGTTTAGGGTTAGAATTAGAATAGGTTAATGGCTAGGTTTAGGTTTAGGGTTAATTTTAAACTTTTTAAACAAGTTTATGTACATGAGACACATATCTATACAGATATATAGGATGTCCCAATAAATGTGTACATGCTTTAACAGCTGATAACTTAATTTTCACTCCTTTTCAGGTTTGATTGATTTAAAATAATGGGTGAAGCCAGACTAAGCTTTGAACAAAGAAAATTTATCCTAAAGTGCCATTAAACTTTTTTTTAATTGGGACACATAAAAGATAAAAGTTTATGGTACAGAGCCAGCAACAGTCGATGAATTGAGGACACACAAATACCAAACAAAATGATGCTTGATGTTTGAGATTCCATTGCTTCATGTTATCAGCAGTGCCTGGACTGTAGAACGGTCATCAGTTTGAAAACAGGCATTGACAAAAAAAAATTATTTCTGTAGATTCTTTTAATGTTGTGAAAATGAACTGTATGTTAAACACTGACTTTACAATCATTCAAAGTGTGCATAGATTTTTTGGGGCACCCTGTATATATTTAAATACTTAAATTTTACATATATATCTTCAAATGTCTAAATAACTAGTAAGTGATGTACTATTAGAAGAAGCCACATTAACCTCTTTGCTATTTCTGAGACATGCTCAGCGTTTCAAAGTGTTTTTTCTCCAAAGACCTCATTACCACCTGACTTTATTTTTATTGTCTGCTCCAATGAAAATGTAATGTCCAAGAGAGGAGAGACTTCCGTTTTATTCATTGCTATATCCCTAACACCTAGAACAGTACTTAATATATAGGGCACTTAATAATTATTTGCTAAATGAATCAACTGACTGAGAAATTAAGAAGGCTAGACTGTTGAGGAAAGTTCTCTAAAAGAACTAAAGTTAAACTCATGCTTAAATGGGAAAAGAGCATTCCAGTAAATGAGTAAATGTGACATGTTTAGAGGGCAGAGCAAACCAGACTGGCTGGGGGTCTGATGAGTAGTGGAAGATAAGGCTGGAGTGAGAGTATAAGGCAGTGGTTCTCAACCTTGGCTGCACATTAGAATCACATGGGAATCTTTTTAAAATCCTGATTTCTGGGCCTCATCCTCCGGAAATTCTGTTTCTTTGTTATGGGGTGAGGCCACAACATTAGTAACAAAGAAACAGAATTTCCGGAGGATGAGGCCCAGAAATCAGGATTTTAAAAAGATTCCCAGGTGATTCTAATGTGCAGCCAAGGTTGAGAACCACTGGTATAAGGACTATTAAATACCTAAAGTCCGGTCCAGCTCAAAAATTGTATGATTCAGGTTTCATTCTACAGATCAGGAACATTATTGCTACTACCAAAAAGGGAGGCGCCATTTTGGGGCTCAGCCCATCTGGTTTCCAGATGATCTAATAAATTTACAATTCTTTACCAAAAAAAGAAAAAGAAAAGGGAAAGCTTTTGAAAAAAGGACTATCATAATGAAAAATATGTTTTAGGAGATAAATCTGGTACCAGTATTTGGATATATTAAAAACAGGGGTATTAGTTACAAGGCTAATGACATTTAAAAGATTAGAGTTCAGATTTGTGTGGTGACAGATATAGAAGAAATTTTGAAAGAAGTATCAGCATAACTTGATGATAGACTGGAAAAGACAAAAATAATTTCAAAAATATGAGCTCAAGTAACTGGAAGGATAGTGGTAATACTGATGAGAGAGGGGAACTAGTTTAAAAGTTCATGACATCTTAGTTTTGAGGTAAGAGTAGCACAACCATGTCGAAATATCTCAACTGTTGTTGAGACATCTTGGAACTGATAGGGGTGGGGGCAGGGAAAAGGATATCAGTCATGAAATCGCTATTAAAGTATTGAATTTTCTACTAATCTATTATTCCATTTACTTCAGGCAAACACCCTTACCTTTAGGCTCACTTGACCCATTTTAGATCAAAGGAGTCAATTCTTGGTTAACTGTCAAAAGCACCAAGTTGATCTGCTATTCCTGGGACTCTACTAGAGCCGTTGGCCAAGGTGCTTGCTTTTCTGCTAGGATCGGATACTCTGAACATTCTATAAATGTGAAAATGCCAGAAGTCCTTTTGCTACCATACACAGAGAAAGCCTGAGAATAAAGTCAAATGGAGGAAAGGAAAGGTAGAGTTCCAACAATGTTGTTAAAACCCCAATATCCAGCCTAGCCTGAGGTCAGCACCACCATTAAGACTTCCCAGTTCAGAGAGTCAAATGGTCTTCCTCTTCTTTCTCTCTTTTAAAAAATATATATTTTTATTGATTTCGGAGAGGAAGGGAGAGGGTGAGAGAGATAGAAACATCAATGATGAGAGAGAACCATTGATCGGCGGCCTCCTGCATGCCCTATACTGGGGATCGAGCCCGCAACCCGGGCATGTGCCCTGACCAGGAATCAAACTGTGACCTCCTGGTTCACAGGTCAGCACTCAACCACTGAGCCATGCCAGCTGGGCCTCTTCTTTCTCTTTACGCCAGTTTGAGTTATGTTTTTTGTATCTTGTAGCCCAAAAGGGTCCCAAATAATATAACAAGTATAAATACAGACAGCTTTTAGAATCTAGTGTCCTTAAGAGTGAATGAATAGGAAGTAAAGGGGAATCTGCCTTTTCACCCACCACTGATAATCAGAAAGCATTGGGTAACCAGCTTAAAGGTTACTATGGGATCTTGGTCTTGAGATGCACAGAAGATTCCATAGCAAGATATTAGGACTAGAAAATAACAAGTGCTCTGAAGACCAAAACTGCTTTGGACTTTGGAGGATACTGAATAACATTCCATTCAATGTTACTTTGTGATAATGTTGATGAGATGCCATAGGATCTTAACTCTTGTTTATATCAATTAGTCCATGGTAAAACTGGTTTCATTATATGTCGTTTCGCTTAAAGTTGCAGAACCTATCAACAACATTAGTCCTAGCTGGTTTGGCTCAGTGGGTAGAGTGTTGGCCTGGGGACTGAAGGGCCCTGGGTTTGATTCCAGTCAAGGGCACATGCCTGGGGTTGTGAGCTTGATCTCCAGTAGGGGGCGTGCAGGAGGCAGCCTATCAATGGTTCTCTATCATTGATGTTTGTCTCTCTCTCCCTCTCCCTTCCTCTCTGAAATCAATAAAAAATATATTTTTTAAAAAAACAAAACAACATTAAGTGATGACTTACTATGTTTTCTAGCATCTATACCAAATTAAACTCTTTTCATTCAAGCCCAGTGTATCACAGCATTTAAAAAATGCCTACTCCTGCACATGAAGAATGATACTTTCACTTATATGTGTGTGCACCCCAGCAAGTGTAGTTTTCATTTCCTCTTCCTTCTGGCCTAAGAGAGAAAGTTCATGCTCTTTCTTACTTGGGAGAAGATACTTAATTCAGGGACAAACACACTGATTACTTACCCTTGCTCTCAAAACACACTTCAAACATGTCATAATCTTCAGTGGTAAAGGCAAATGCCCCCTTGGTTGCATCCTCCTTGGAGTACAGAATATGGCCAGCAGAATCTGTGATCTAAAATAAAAAAGTAAGTAAGAGCAGGAAGCAAATAACACTCAGGAAGGAAACTGATAGAAACTGGAGAAATAGAAAGAAACACTGTCTATAAAAGACATTTATCATAATGATGACCATGTTCCAACTATTCCCAAAGACAGGAATAGGATGAGAGGATGAAGCCCAAATACAACAAATTTCATTCATTCAAGCTGCCTATCCACACTGTAGGTTAAAATCTGTTGGCACTATAGAATGACAGTTGAGATATAAATTGGGTTTAGTAGCAAAGGTTCACTTTATAGAATGTAGAACAGTATTTCCCAGAAAGGGATATGTCACAAAAATGGAAGTGGACGATTACCAAAAAAATATACTACAAAAAGAATAAAGATACATAAGAACACATCTCTTCTGTAAAATAATTCTTGATAGGGTTGAGAGGTGGGGAGTGGAATGGGATATCTGATATAAGGAGAGAAGGAAAAGAAGGCATGCACAGAAAAGAAAATCTGGTAGCTGTATTCCTCCAAATGTCATGCTAATTTGTCAGTGGCTACCTGGGATGGGAAAGAAGCCCAGGGATAAACAAAAAGTTCTCCTAAAGAAGGCATCCTCGGCTTCCACAAATGATAATGCCTTTCTTATAGGTTGTTAGCTTTAGGTCTCCAAACTTAAACTGCTCCATTCCTAGAGAATGGCCTGTAAAGAAGGGAATTACATGGTAACATGACAGATTGGATCTCAGGCTTCTTTTCTAAAGCATATGCTGTCTTAGCAGAAGGCAATTTCATTATCTAAGGCAGACGCTACTTGCAATGTGCAACACAAAAGTAGTGGCTTCATTATATTAAACTGGATATTCTAACGCTGTTTTTAAAACAAGATTCATTTATAAGTGAGATTTTAAATTTAAAAACTGAGTAGCACACATATAAGCCTATCTATTTAAAGCACTTCACTAGTTATTTCTGAGTAGTGAGTTTTCTTTATACTTTTAGTTTTCTCTCAATTTTCTACAAAGGCACATATCACTTACAGTCTGAAACAAAGTTATTTCGTTTTGAGGGGAAAAACATAATAACTAAAGAATAGTTATCACAGATAAGACAAATTTTAAATGATGGGTTAATTAAAAAGGTTTTATGACATCTTCTAAATTCCCTAAAAATAGCCCTAACCGGTTTGACTAGGTGGATAGAGCGTCAGCCTGCGGACTGAAGGGTCCCAGGTTCGATTTCGGTCAAGGGCATGTACCTTGGTTGCGGGCACATCCCCAGTAAGGGGGGGGGGGGGTGTGTGCAGGAGGCAGCTGATCGATGTTTCTCTCTCATCGATGCTTCTAACTCTCTATCCCTCTCCCTTCTTCTCTGTAAAAAATCAATAAAATATATTTTTAAAAAATAATAAAAACAAATTCCCTAAAAATAACAGCAGTAATAGTAAACAAGTATCTTCTGCCATGAAAGATGCTGATCATTCATGACGGTCAAGCATTTAAGATCCCTCAATCTGCATTGGTCACTGGGGATACAAGGATGTGTAAGATAGCTCCTACCTTTAAAGGGCTTAAGAATCTAAATGTGGAGAGGAATAAGAAAGGAGACCACTACATTGTGAAAAGTGCATTACTAGAGGTATGCACAGGTGCCCCGGGATTATGGAGGGTCAGGGAGTGTATCATGAAAGAGATGACACATGAGCTGAGTCTTCAAGGATGAGTTGCAATTTAGGGAAGAATTGGGGAAAAGGCATTCAGGATACAAGAGACAGCAAATATGAATGCCTGGGGTCCAGGAAAAAAACAAAACAAAACATGGTATCATCATAATACCAGTAAATGGTGCTTACTGAGCACTGACTAAGTGTCAAGTACTATGCCAGGTGCTTTATACGCATTTTAATTTAATCTTTACTATAACTCTATAGGTAAGAACTATTATTTCCCCCATATTCCACAGGAGAAAAGTGAGGCTCAGAAAGACTAAGAGGCTGGAGAGGTACTGACACGCTCATGTAGAACTGTAACAACATGCTAAGAAGTTTAAATTTCACTGAGTACAAAGTGGAAAGGCAATGAAGAATTTGAAACAAGAGAGTGCTGTGATTCAATTAGGAATTCAGAAAACATGAATCTGATACTACTAGGAAGACAGACTCAAGAGGGACAATACTAAAGATAAGAAGATGGGTTAGGACACTATTCTGGTACTCCAGATTAAAAATAATGAGGGCTGGCCAGGCTGGTGTAGCTGAGTGGTTGAGCATCAACCTATGAACCAGGAGGTCATGGTTCAATTCCCAGTCAGGCCATATGCCCGGTTTGCAGGCTCAAACCCAAGTGTGGGACGTGCAGATTCTCTCTCATCACTGATATTTTATCTCTCTCCCCCTCTCCCTTCCTCTCTGAAATCAATAAAAATATTAAAAATAAAATAAAATAAAAACGATTAGGGCGACTTTGAATATAGAGAAAAGGTGACAGATTGGAGGGATTTTAAGGAGGAAAGGACCACAGGACAAAACCAAAAAATAAATGCCCTGAAGGATCAACTGAGCAACATAACAGAGTCTAATGGACCAGTATAAGTCCATAGGGTGTGGTTGACAATGTGGAAAACTGGAAGGGTCTGTCTTAAGGAAGAAAACAGTGACATGCCAGGTTTTCAAATCATCCAATTTTTCAAAAGAAGTTGTGGACATTTTAACTTTTATTTGAAATCTCCTAATTTTTAAATCCTCACAACAAATCCCAACATTTGAAAAACTATCTCAAGACCAAACAAAAGATGTCTATAGGACCGAGTTCCTCTGATCCACCAATTTCTGATCTTTGCATAGGACAGGAAGAAAACTGACTAAAATTACATAAAAGAACTGGGGGACAACACTAAGGTCTCAGCTGAGATCGTGGACCATAGATTTCTAGCAGCCAGGATGCAAAAGCAGAGAAAAGTATTAAGTGATTTAGGCTTGGGGTTCTGCAGCTGAATGGTTTTGAAGGCTAAGGGGATAAAGGAATTATGCTATAAACTTTTTATACATATTCTTTAATCCTCACAATCACTCCATAAAAGCCAGTCTTATCATCCTCATTTTACTGACGAGGAAACTTAGTAACTTGTCCATTATCACCGAGTTAATAAATTGTGTATGTGCATTTGAAGCAGTCTAAAACCCATGTTCTTTTCACATTCCATGTTGCATCCCCACAAAAGGAATGTCTGAAATAAGTGGTATGCAAAGATGCCAAGAAAGACTAACAGAATCTGATGAATTATTTGGGTCAGTGCATGGCAGAGAACCTGTGAGTCTTCTTGAGTGGGACATGGCACTTTTCAGTCTGTATTCTCCTCCTTAGAGATTAGCAGGCAGCCACAAGGTAAAGTCCTTGATGTCAGCAATAACTAACAGATAATCTGCAAACGAATACATAGTCCTAAAGATTCTAAAAGACCTCAACTAAAAGAAAAATCCTAATAAAGAACTACTTTAGAACCTGGGATACACATATCATAGGGCAAACAGGTCTGGGAATGAGTAAAATCCCAGTGATGTGTAGTCACCAGTGTGGTGCCACTCTTCCTTTCTTCAGAATCTATTCATCCATCAGATATTCACACTTCCCCACTTTCCAGTCCCCAAAAGCACAATGACAATTCCTAAGAGTAAAGAGGAAGCTCAAAAAGACAGACTCTAGGAATAACAGATTTTCACATTCGAAGCTGATCTAAAAACTCAAATTTGGATTTGGCTTCTATGTATAAAGTTACAGAAAATGTAGAACTTCTCCAAGGCACACCTGGATAAAAATAAGTTTCTGAATTTGCTCAGTGTACTAGCTTAGTTCTTAAGGGAAAAAGGAAAGGATTACAGGTTGCTAGAAATGTTTAAATGTAAATGAAACCAGTAGAGGACAGCAGGAACTAAACATCGAGGGTATAAGTACTGCACAGTCATCACAGAAGAAATCATCTTCAGTCAGGCAGGGAAAGAGGCTAGGTCACTGGCCTACAACAAACAACCCAACTTAATTGGGCTTACAAGATTTGGCACACATTTGCCATCTTATGTCCTAGAATAATAGCTTATGATCTCTTTGTATTCTCCTAAGATATTAAAAGGGTTCTTTAAAAAAGTTATTAATTTAAGGAAACTCTATAGATGATAAAAGAATCTAGATGCAGGTCAAAACACTCTTAAGGTATTGGCAAAAATCCTTTATCGAGTAACTTGCAAAATGAATCAAGAAGTCTGTCATGTTCTTCTGAAAGGCTCTGATACAATCCACTCTTCCAACTGGTACTTGGAGCGATAAAAACTGTTTAAATTTTCCTCTACTTTGTACTGAGGAACTATAATCATGGTAGAACATCTTGCTTTGTTGTTTCTTTCTATAATATCTGAAAATGTATTAAAAGTTCATTATAGGGCAAAAGCTCAAATACTTTATGAGAGGCTGAAGACAAAGGACCCATCACTGCATGTACCTTCTTCAACATGAAATTTACCTCCCAGAATAGTGTGTGATAATGATCACAATTCTCTTGGCGCCTCCACATTTCTATATTCCTTATGATATTGAGTTGACAGAACTATATATGAGGGTATTTGTCTAGAAATTTGGAAATCCATGCAGACAACTTGACAACTTAACCTTCAGGTCAGGCTCTAACAGATCCTAGAATTTTTCTGAAAATCAATCGATTTTCCATGTAGTTCATAACTGTGCAGCTATTTTAGGAGCCAAATCACTGATCTTAAGGGTAAAAAAAAAATAAATCACATGACCCCAACATAATTACATAAATCAGCAGGTAGCTAAAATTAGGGAATAGAAAACTGGGCCAAGCTAAATGACTAGCCAGAACTGGCAAAGTCTATTAGGCCAAAATGATGGTTTTAAATTTCCTTTAATTAAGATGTTCTAATTATAGATCACCTTAAAAACTCACCTGGTTTCTCAAGAATTTAGACTTTACTTTTTTCTTCTTCTTCTTAAATTTTACTAGAGAACC